TTCCAATAGTAAATCCTTTGGGAAAATCTAAACGAAATAATTTTTACGACAAGTTTGGTTCATTGACGTTGTATACTAGAATTCAGCGTTTCTCAACCTACAGTTGTCATCTTGTGTCGCTATACAACTAAATCAAAAATGACAGCTGTCACATTGTATCAAAAGTAAGGACTAGTCCAAACGTTTCTTCACTGTACGCAATATAATTAAAATTAAAATAGAATAGAAACTAGGAATCAATGCATAATGAATTTCACCATAATTTATAATATAAGTACAATTTTGTGTTGGGTATAATTATGCTGTATGTTTGGTTGCGGATTTCTAAGTACAAATTAATACCGTTAGTAATAAGGAAAAATAAAAGAAAAAAAACCTCAGTTATCTGTCAAATTTAGATGTTCCAATAGTAAATGTTTTGGAAAAACGTTAGTAGACGAAATTATATTATAAAATGTTACTTAAAGATTAAGTTGGTATTTGTATTGGTGATTCGAAAAACACCCGTTGACATCATTTCATCACGATGTTGCCATTTATTACAAATATATTTAAAATTGCTAAAATAATTTGAATCTAATAATTATTTATTAAAGAATGATTTAATTGTAATTTTAATTTTAATGTTGGCAATAGATGTACGTAATGGGTGTAAATTGGCGGCATCGCAAATGGGCGCTAACAAGGCAATCGGAGGTGTTTACAAGGTTTATGTGCGGATTAGATTTGTTTTGGGGGAATTGAAGACGACGGTTGGTGGCCGTGTGTGAGAATGTGTGAACGGGCGGAGGTGCCGGGTAGTCAATAGACTATATATGCACGAGTCCCAAATCACGTTAGCTACTAGGAGCGGAGCTAATTAAATAATTTAATCCTCGTTCCTGAGCTGGAATGGGTGTGGGTGGGTTTGTGGCTTAGTTGCAAGTAGAAATTATGAGCCGCGAGGCGTTGCATCCAAACCAAACCAAACCGAACCGAACCTTCACTACTCGCACCGATTCTCCGGCACACAACCTAATACATAATGCATACATATATTCATACAACTACTGTTTGCGCTTTGTTAATTACTACAAATGCACGATTTACTTCGTTAATCGCGACCTATTGAATTCCTCTGTTTAAAATCCTCTCTTTTTTTTCTTGTTCGCAATCCACATACATTTGTAGCTATCAGATATTTAATAAAGTTTTAGAACAATTTCAATACTCATTATTTTTTGTGTTTGACTGCAATTGTCATCTTTTATTTACATTTTTGACATAATCGTTTTTTATTTTAGTGAACATTTCTTAAATTAGGTAAGACGTTTCATTTATTATTAAGAAGATTAAGCAAATTTGTATTACATATATACAGCAATAATTCAACGTGTTATAGGAGAGTTTCCATTGTATTCCATCAAGTTACGAAGTTTTGGTGGAAAAGCAAATAGAATGTTACAATTATTTATTTCTTTGAAATTTACTTTCAATTTCATATTCCATCTATTATATTGACATTATCAATCTTTCTTTGACTATTGAATATTAAAATAATAATAATAATTTGTATTGCAACAGTATTGCAAACATTATAAAATATAAAAAATAGTGTTTTTATTTTTAATAATATAAGCTAAATAAGTAATTAACTTAAAATAATTACATTTTTGCTGTGAAAATGTGTAAGGTTAATGAATGCAGATTTATGGTATAGCAAGTGGTAAAGTAAGTTTTAGTTTTTGCAAGTCGTGTCACAAGTCCCAATTTCCCAAAGGTATCCGCTGATATAAACTGGGTATCGCCCGTTTTCTTTTTGTGATGTGAGCTCGAAACACACACAAAAAGGGAAACCTCAACACAATCAACTCCATTAATTGCTCCAACTTTGTCCTTCACCCGACGACACGAAGTGCGGACAACGCACGTAGAAACCGCCCCATCTCAACAATCCTCCCGTTTCATTCTTTGGGAATCCGGCTTCGCGTCTTCTTCATTGCCCGCCGTATTGGATCGTGCGAAATGGGTCGCTTTACTGGAAGAAATGAAATGAGGAAGAGGACGGTCGGAAATCAATGGAAATCTCCGGCGACCCGCTGACCTTTTTCACTTAACAATTTCGTAGACTCTCCTCCTCCGTCTCTATCTTTCTCTCTTTCTATCTCGACATCGGTTGCATCGGTTTGTCTCTGTCTGGGCAGAAGTATAGTGCTTTGCAGGTCCAAGGTTGAAATTCGATTAAAAATCAATGCTGCATCGGCGGATTATGGACGCTCCATTTCATTTCGGATTTAGAATCACTTTATCAATTCTGCTGCGACAATGCCTTTTTTTTTACTGCAATTTTTCTTCACCGTTCGTTGCAACTAGCTCTAGCTTTGGTTACTTTATTTTCTTCAAATACAAAGTAATTGATTGGAACGACAATTGCTACTTAGAAGCAGCAGCAGCAGCAGCTTAAAAAGTAACTTCAATGTATTTGAAACGACGATCCAGTTATTTGATTATGTTGGTCCCAAAACAAATATGTCGAACAACACATAAAGAATTAGCATATTACAGAATCGCAATTTCTACAATACATTGTGCTCTCGGTAATCCATAAAAACCAGAGGCAAAAACCAGATTTCCTGCTTCAGATTACCGTAGAATATACACACAAGTTCACTACAATTTAACATTTTAATTTAATTTAAATCTAAACGAAATATTTTCTCAGCCTACAGTTGTCATCTTGTGTTAAAACTGGTGAAATATTATTGGTAATTGTGTCTCTATACAACTAAAACAAATACGTTGGCTCGTAAAATGACAGCTGACAACTGTCAAAGTTTCTGTCACTGTACACATTATTGTTAAAATGTCAAATTGTAATCCGAACCCAACAAAGTTCTAAACGAGATTGTATGTTAATAAATGATTTTTGTAAATCTGCTTCGATATTATAATCCACGGATAGCAACATCGAAACGATTTTACCGTACAATTGATTTTTTGTAATTTTTTTTGCAGCTTTAGCAAACCAACATTTGACCAAAAAATTGGGTAGTGATTAAATCCGGAACGACCGCAATAAACGCAAAACGCTAGAACAGATTTGCTGGTGTTTTAGGACCGGACCAAAGCGAATTAAAAAAAAAAACACAAACAACAACAACAACATAAAACGGAATACAGAGGGAAGGACGCGAGAGGGCGCGCGCATAAAACAATTGTGTATTGTGATGCGATGATAAAAGGGCTTTTGATTATTCCGAAATTGCTTCCGACCCCGTTATTTGCGGTCGCCGGACATTATCCCAAACTGTTGTTGTCTCCCAATATTTATGTGTTACGCGCGATATGACCGATTGTGTGCGTGTGTTTGCATGCTACAATCACTATCGCTGACGTTCCATCTAATCGGTGCACCGCCGATAACGGTGATCGCCGTTTTCGGTTCACGGCTAATCAACAATTCGAAATAATTACGCGCGACGTGATCGATAGAGATGAACGCCATCTAGCGACCCCACGATTCCAGGGGGGTTGTCACGTCAAAATTGACGTCGAGGAAAAATTAAAGCGGGCTTTGAGGGGATGGGCGGAGACTTGTAAGAGTAAACGAAAACAAGTGAACAGCGGAAGTGAAGAACGATCTCATTTTTTTTTTGTGTTCGTCCCTCCGGGAAGAAGAAAAGAAATATGGTTAATGGCAGAGTTTTAAATTTCATGCCTTATTAATTAGCTGCCATTAATTTTCTCGCTTTGACAATTAGCCATCCATAACGGACGGACGGACGGACGGACGAGGGCAAGTCTTTATGTAGAACGTTATAAAAAATTGTGTTCTGGAATCATGACGAACTTTAGACGTGCTTGCTCGAAAATTCATGAGAAGCAAGCGTCCCTCGACATCGGTGTGTGTGTGTGTACCCATTTTTCTTTCTCCTTTTAAATCAAGATGACTAAGGAGTAATTACCCCCTTAATTATGGCCGACAGAGCGATTTCGCTAAATTTTAATTGCTTCACTTTTTAATAATTACTCAAACAACTTTATTATTCGCATTACCTAATTGCCTAAGTATAACAGGAAGCTTAATATCCAACTATTTCCACAAGATTACAATTTATAATTTACATCCTATGATTTCTCCTTGCTTTTAGATATTACTTCCATACGCATGCTCTTTTCTTTCGATTTTAACTAACCGTCGTAATATGTTATACAAGTATTCGATTTCCAATACGGGTGGGAACTTGCGGGGGTGGAACTTTCCGATAATAAGAAAAAATAATAAATACGTGGAAAATGGTGTTGTGCAGCTGTTCGATTTCCAGTTAATTCCCAATACTTATGTAAATGTGTTACAGATAACCACTATACATCTGCGTTTTTCAACCTTTTTGCCGCACGACCCATCACATTTATACTCTTGCTTCTGTCAAAAGTGACAGCTGTCATTACGCTTTGACGCAAAGTGACAGCGAATTAACATATTCTTTGACACAATATGACAGCTGTCATGATTGCGTTAATACTTTGTAGAAAAATGAAAGGAAATAAAGAGAAAGCTCAAATTTGTCAGCCTTTGAAGAAAATAATTATAATTATTGTAAAGGCCCAGATCTGTTGCGAAATAAAAGGATCCAACAAACGTATATTATTTCCTATTCGCTTGGCGAGCGAAAATGAAAAAGCGTGCTCGCGTAAAAACAGACGCCAGATTTGATCTCATTCTTCCAATGTTTCCGTTGTTATTCGTGTGCCTCCTCTTTTCCTCGTTGGCATTTGCTGCTGGTATTGTTGTTGTTGTTGTGTTGTGTTGTGTTGTGTTGTTGCTTCAACTTGAACTCACTGCCGTATGCATCATTCCATTTAATATGTAAGCTTGGAAAGAAATCTCTAATATTCCGGCCGCGCTCCACGCGCATACATCCATCATATTATGCCGTTTCAATACTGTCTGCTGTCTGTATGAAAATCTCCTCTTTGCACATCTCCGTACGAGTTACAATGTTCTCTTTACGTTGCAGGAAATAAATTACGATTCACCGCGCGGCGGCGTCAGCGTCATCACGGAGAAAGGCGACAACACCGTCAGCTATCTGCTGGTCCAGAGGGCTCGCGACTCCGATTCCGGAAAGTACACGTGCAATCCATCCAATGCCAATCCAAAATCGTTAATCGTTCACGTGCTCAATGGTAAGACAACCAAATTTATACTATTTAATTAGTCTATCTAGTCTTTAATAGATGGACACGTAGAGGTTATGAAACTTTGTTTTTGATTAAGTTTTGACGTTAGATTTCGATTCTGACAGCAAACGTCAAACGGATTGACGTAAAGATTAAATATGTTTGCAGATTAGAACAAAAACAGAAGAATCGTAAATTCAAGCTGTTGAAATTATAAAACTAATGAATCTGTATATGTGAATTATATGAACGTTCGTGGGGAAAGGCATAGAAACGCTTAATTGGAAATGGTGAATACCTTAAGAGTCAAAGTCATAGAGCTTTGTTGGGTCTTTTGTGAGAGGTATCGATTAAGCCTCCAAAACGCAGGTGCTTGATCATGATACAAACAGCACATAGATACACACACACACACATACAATAAGCTCTAATAGTCCTAATACAACCCGAGTTAATGTGTTATCGAGCTTCGGGCTGTTATGGCACAGAATCAAGACCAACCCCCCCCGGCCCGACATAAAGGCAATACCAATTCCGACTTAACTTTACACCCTGATTTATTACCTGTCTCGTCAACGATCTCCAATACACTTAATGGATTTACCTTATTATTATTATCATCATCGCAGACAAAGTCTTAAAAGGCTCTCGCAATAACAAACCTATCACCGTTCATTTTCTTTTTATATATTTACAATCAACAATAAATGAAATTGCAAATGAAACGTATTTATTATTAACTATTATTACTGCATGTCTAACAAATTATAAAACATAAATGCTAATGTCAACTTGTCAACTGTCATCACTAAATATTAATTGATTTGACATTTAGTTCGCATTTGATTTGTCAGTGCTTTGATATAAAACCAGAATAGTAATATTGCACGAAGTACGTATATTGTAATACAACCGTTAACACTGGTATTCTCACATGAAACATATCCAGATGATCACTTTACAAGCAATTTAGAACTCAGTGCAGTTGTGCTACTGAATTGTCGATGATTTAGAAACTTACAATATTTGCTTCCAACTATTATTACGCTTAATTTATACACTTTTCATAACATCTTTATATTGTGTTAATGTTACTTCTTCTTTCAATGTTTATATACGTACAGCAATATGAAACTTTCATAATTCTTTAGTAATTACATATTTCTCACATTAAAACCAATAAACACGGGGCGATGGATTTTCGTAAAGCAATGAAATTTAATGTTCACGTTGTGAAAGTTTATGAATGATTACATCCAGCAAGCACGGTAAACCCTTGAAATTGGCAAAGAAGATAATTTTAAAAGTTCGGACCGAAAAGTGTCAAGAGTGGAGAGTAGGTATAATCTAATTTACGTTTCTAAAGCCTCTTAGTGGTTTTCATTGCTGGAAAATAGCGCGCGGAACGATGATTATAAACAGGTTATTAGATTGGCGAAAGAAAGGAAATTCTGTACGTTGTAGCTCGTTCGCACGGCGAAGGCGGCGAAATTTATTAAATTTAATTACATGAGAATCATCGATACGTAAAGCCGCAGCGAAATTATCCGACGCTTCGTACGACGAGCCTTTCAAACACACAAATTACAGCCGCATTCAAATATTAAATTATACCCTACGCTTTGTTGCTTCATCACTAAAATAATTAATAAAATATTATAATTAGAATACACTCTCTAATCAAAATGCTGATTGGATTTGTTCATGCGACTTTTTGCAATATTTCTGTTAATCTGTAACTATTCATGTAGATAGTTTTATTAATTAGTTATTATAATTAATTCATTCACAAATTTTCACCTAAAGTAACTAAAGCAAACTTCACATGACAATGTTGCCAAAATAAATATTAAAAAAATAAATAAACTCCTCCCATATTTAATCTTATTGCCACCACAATAAATAGTAGTTAATTATCGAAACAAACAATTGACAAAATTATTTTATTGTTGTGTTGGTATTTAAAGTTGATAGCTTGTAATTAGTATTCTGGTAATCTGAACGATCTAAAACCCAATCATAATTAGTATATAATAAATCTCTGTGCAACGATTTAATTCCCACAGCATACACCCCGAATTATTATTATTATCATTTTCCGAACATACAATTTCCGGCCGAACTGCCAGCGACGTCCCAGCAGGAAAATTTCCATTAATATCGAAACTGGTAAAAACAGATCCCCGTTCCTCAACACACACACTTCTTCGTATTGACATGCATGCAGCGCGAGTCATGTGTTGTAGACTTATAAATGTAAATATTTAGTGTTCGGAATTTGCTTGTCTTACATAGAAAGCGCATTTCGATTTTCTACTTCAAAAGTTCGAATCGAATGTAGTTTTTCTCTCATCCTCTTCGCCGACTTTCCCCCAGAGGCTTATATGTTTTGAATTTGAAATGTGTACATATGAAATGAGTACCTATTACCGAAATCATTTCATCTGTTTACTTGTTTATTAGTCAATTTGTTATTTGGCACTAATATTAAATAAAACTTAAATGACTGCATTCACGTGGAAGCGAATGGGGCGCGGCTTAATTACAGTTTTTTTTTTAAATTTAAATATTTATGTTGGCAGCATTGAGATTTGAAGTTTGTTTTATACTTATTATTTTGACATATTCGGATTTGACGTTTATTAAATTACGTCAGTCACATAAATGTTCTAAATACAAGACAACAAGGATTAGTGTTTTTGTTGTAAATATAGAGAATATAGTTCATTAATAAATCGATATAAGTACAGTGAAGGTAACGAGCATTTCACTTAACAAGCAAAATTAAATGTGAGAAAAATGACTCGCTTAACGAGCGACGTTGACAACAGAAGTCATATTTCAAACTTTTGTACACATATTATGTGTATTATGTTTCACTATACGAATAAAAATTCGGAAATTTTAGAACGGATTAAAACTCGTTAAGCGAAGTTCCACTGTATTTCAGTATATATATTAGAGTTGAGAGTGGACCGTCGTCGATTATCCTGTTTAGAACTTCGCAAATTGCGCCAATCTCGTTAAACGGCCACAGACGTTCGGCCATAAATTAGATATCCTCCTTCTCCCCGTCCCAAATATATATATATATAGATTTATAAACCTGTTATCAATAAGCCTGGGGTTTGCTTGGAATTGGAAGAGGATATACAGGATTTATGGAAATTTTCCGAAGAAGAAAAAAAAAACGTCTGTCTGGTTGTAACATCTCCAATCCCATTTACCATACGTAAAATTAATCGTATTTTCTTATTTATCGAATTGAAAAACTGCTGTTCAAACCTTTTCACTTGAAAGGAATGAGAGAGAAATGCAGGAAATTAAATATTTTCTTAAGGAAATGACTGCTTGAAACTTCGTCTTTAATGGAGCATAACTTTAAGGCAAATGCTCTACTTATAGTTTGCATCTCTTTAATATTTAATACGAAAGACGATTTAATTTATGATTTTCGAATCGTTAGTAACTTTTTTATAATCTCGATTGGTCCCCAAAGAATTTGTGTAAAGCAAACAAATATATTTAAACAAAAATTACCATAAATTTCTGTCCGATAAATGAATAAATCTCTCGATGTCAAAGTTTCTACTACTTATTCGATTACGTTTGAAAGAGAGACATGAGTCAAGAATATTGATGAAAGCAAATACTCTGGAGGGAGCGAAAATCCTCGGAGCATTCTCTTCTTTTTTTTTAATTTTTTTTAAATTTGTCCAATGCACTGACGACTGATAGGAGACGAGACACTGTCAAAAGAAGAAAATAAAAAGGGATAACGTAGAAAAAGTGGGAAAATATTTGACGGATTCAATATTTGTCATTGTCAATATTTCAAAGTCGTCGTCGAGCGAAGAAGGAGGCCGCGCCGGAGGCTCGCAAACAAAAGTCTTTTCCTCGCAGCCCACACACACACTCAGACTAAACTCCCTTATTTTTCTTCCAATCTCACTCCAAACGTTTACCCAATCCTTAAATAAATTCAGCGCGAACTTTTCATTTTCATAGTTCAACAACCGAAAACAAAAAAACAACAAAGATTAATTTAGTGAATTTCAAAAAAAAAATCTCATTTACCGTTATTTGTGAAACGCTTCAATCTATTTACACAGCGCATCCACTTTAAATTATCTACAGGATTCAACTTATATTTGTATAATTTTTACATTGATTTTATAGTAATTTCTGCAGAATTTAAAAACTTTTTCACGAATATTTCACATCTTGTTCATCTGCAAAATACGCGATCGATACGTGTATATAAATTGTATGAAACGGATATTAGGTATTAAAGTTTTATATATATATATATATATATGGGTGTATCTGTGTATATTTCTGGCCGACGTTATTAAATCCAATAAATTACATTTCGCGCGCTCGCCCACTCTCCAGCCGGTAATAAATCTCGGAGCATATCTTCGGTAATTGTTTAAAGTTTCCACAACGGCTTTGATCTGGATACCGTTCCGCTTCAGTAATCGCATATCCGCGCGCGCAGATGAAGACCATTATTATAAACGTCATTTCTCAAAGATTTTCCCATGTTTTTTTGGAGCTTGTTGGAGTCCTAATTCGAGGATATTTCTGGACAGCGGTGGACAAAAAAGCGGATTAGGCTGAGACCGACGTAAAAAAAGGAAAACGTAATGAGATTAGGAGATATCGAAGCGAGAGAGGAAACTGAGCGAAAAAAAAATACAACAAGTAATACAGACGGAATATTATTTATACGTATTGCGTCGCATTAGCCGGTGACAGTGATGTAACGATTCTGTTCCGAGTTAATAACATTTATAAATCCGGCCCATTGTGCGCGACATTAACTCGGATTTATATTGGATTAATGAAATATGTCGATTGACTTTTCCACGAGTGTTTTCCTTTAACAAAATGATCAATCGATGCAGCTTATAAATAACACGCGACATATTTGAAAAATACCTGTTTATAGCACATAAAAGCGTCGATCAAAATACGTCATTAAATTTGGATAAAAATTGTGAATTCTGCTTATAATAATAATAATAATTAATGTTCAGTTAATTCACATATTTGTAATTTCAACGATCGACCTAAATTTTATATAATTGATGAATTGCCTACATATTAATAATATTTATGAAATAATTACATATGGATCGCAAAATGACGTGTGTCAAATTGTTGAAAAATTATGTTATAAAATGACAGCTGTCATCTTGTGTGAAATAGTGTTGTGTACAAACTGAACGAAAAAAAACAAACAAACAAAGTCATAATTGAAATTGGCAATAGAAATGCACACACATTCGCACCAACTTCGTTTCGTTGGATGGCTTCTTGATGTTTGTACACTACTGTAGCCTGAAGGGTCTTAGAGCTGATTACGGACGGGCACTTGTGTGCAGGGGTTGCAGCAATATAGTTTTCCGTTGATGGAAGGGTGGGTCGTCTGTTTGTAGCCCTCCCCCCAGAATTGACGCGTCAAAAGGATGGAGTGAGTGGAAGAAAAATAGTCTCACTTTTACGTCCGAGTAAATAAATGAAATTTACGCGCGGGATGGATACGTCTTGAATTTGTATCCAAGAGTCCGCAAACATACGCAACGAAATGTATTTATCTTCGGGGTTGTGAAAAGAATATTTGTTCGCTTTATATATGTGCGCATCAATCGCCCTTGTTAAATGCTCTAACGCCAACAATACAAGAATGAAAGATGTCCATGTCCGAACGATTATTATTACTGATAATTTGTATAAATTAATTAAAAAAAAACTTTGTTTTTGTATGGTTGGTACTTTTAAGTAATTTGACATATACCCAAAGGTTGGCAACCCTCAACTCTTTAATTAATCAAATATTCATAACCTGAACACGTCATGTCAAAAAAAAACCTATAGTGGTGTCTTATTAAGATTACAACATATCATACAATTACGGCTAAATTATAACTTGCACTTGTTTTGAGAAAGTTTTCGATTGAGTTCACCAACCACCACCCAGTTTATAAGAACGACATCTCTCGGCTATAATTCAATGGGAAAAGCGGCCGCTGCTACAAGATTTACTACGTTCCACCTACTTCGTACAAGAAAAAAACCGTCTGCAGTGTGCGAAATTGAACTTCCTTAATATACATTTGATTGCATTTACTAATCACAATAAATTACATGAATCTAACACGTTCAGTCGTTAACTAATGTATTTTTTTCTCGAGCAGATGCAGTAATCTACAGCAGCGTTTTTCAATCTATAGCGTTACCTTAAATTTCGAATGACAGCTGTCAATGACAGCGAAATGTCAACTGTCATCGTGTGTCAAAGCGAGAAACCAATGAAATACTTTTGGTAATTGGGTCACGACTGCAAACAAATAGAAAGCAGCAACTTATGAAATATGCATTAATAAACTTATATTCATAAATAATAATACATATTCATGGTATGAAAAAGTGTTTAAAAAAAATGCAATTAAGAATCAGAAATGGGCACGCTTTGCGTTCAAGTACGCGAGTATTTGACGTGACACACGCCACAGGCAACTGCGAAAGCTGTTCCTTTTTTTTTTTGCAATCTGGAAATAGTTTCGCGTGAAAATGATACGAAGTACGGCTGGTTTCGAATTCGTTTTAAAATCCGAGTTATATGAGACGGTTCTGCGGCCGGAAAAATAGCGAGCGCAGTAAATCGCGCATAACTCGAGGACGGTCCGATCGATTCCCACCAATTTACGGCCAGAAGGAAGACCGTTAAATTCCGAACATATATGTAAGTGCAATTTCATTATTTCAAAAAAAATGATGAACGACTTGCATAAAAACGGGAACGGTAAAACGCTGTATCAATTTTCAGCATTTCTTTTTAAGTGAACTGACCGTGACAATTACAGAAACGTTATATATAGAGGGAAATTTTCAATTCACTCAAAAAAATGAAGGAAATTAACATTTGGAGATAAATAATAAGACAAATTGCATGTGAATTTGAGAGTTGAATACATTTTCCATTACTATTATTACGAAGATAATGGATGCAACGAACGGAAGTGAACAACGGCAATGAGTGTTTCCGGTGATATAATTTAAGATCTGCAAATGAGATGAGAATCCCATTCATATTTCATGACTTTACAAATATTAGCTCGCATTTCGAGGGGTGCACAAAATAATTGAGTGATGGATGTAGTAAAGTGTACGAACCGAAACTGGTCTGGTAATTTTCTCTGAGAGCGGTGGGCAACAAGCGTGAACATTGTTTCCCGATTGGCGAATTCAAACGGACTCCGACGTGTTTTCCGTGTGTGTGCATAGCTTGCTTAATTGTCAGTCGGCATTTATCGATCGGCTTCTGATACACTTGAAACTTCATCCTGGAATTTCGCACACAAGAGATATTTGCATTTCAACAGTTGCTGCCCATTGGCAAACATCACATACTCATCCGAATTTGAGATACGCAGAATATGGATTTGTAAACTAATTTCTACAATCTTTTCTGCAATTCTGTATGTAGGCAACAGGTAGATGCTAATTATAATTACATGAAAATACTCCATTCATGACCACGATGATGATGATGGCACGGAGGAGGAGGAGAAGAAGTTTTCTGGTTTCGGAACTGCAGCTGTGTTGGAAGGAAAATGCATGAAAATGTAATGTAATTTATGACCTGCTCGACTCGTCTCGCCTCGTCCCACGCAGTAGTTGCGCCGTGCAGCGATGCCGCTCGAAAAAAGAGAAAGAAAAAGTGCAAAGAAACTTTTCGGTAAAGTAAGTGAGCCAAATTCAGTGCCGCAAAGTTTTTGATTGCTCTCTATCTCTTGCCCGCTATAGAAAACTCATTTAATTACAGCAATCCCCCTCGACAATGATATAAATAATAATGATACAATTTTAACGCACATTCGGACAAATTACAAAACAAATATTTTTGGTTTAGATTATAGAGAACCCATAGTGCTAACATTGATTTAAGTATATAAACAATGCAATTATTCTACTGAATAGATTTTACTTGATGACTTGGATTTATGTAATTACAATGAAGTCCCATTGAATGCGTATTTACAATGTTGTGCTTGCATTAAGATGTAAATAGGAGACATCTAGCGGCTGAATAAAACTGTCTGGTCTTGTCATAACATTTGTATTGCGCCGAGAGTATGTTAATTAAGAAATAACACGTCCATTATACGGGAATTACGCGGGGATTACGAAAACTTCCGTGCAGTCTAACGTGTTCCACTGCTGCATTCACTTATTTCCCTCCCCTTAACGTAATTTAACTGCGAAAATCCTGTTAGGTTTAGTTATATTCAAGTCAATCTCTCTGTGTCTCTGCAGGCGAACTCTTCCCCAGTTGATTGTATATTACGTTAATAATGATGCAATGTTTGCAAGTGAAATATCTTAATGCCGCTAATCGTGACGGATGTCCCAAAGTCTTATTGTTTAATCAGACGAAACTGGATTTCAGCATTGCGTTACTACTATTCTTCGTGAAAGAGGTGGCGGTTTCTGATGTTTCAAGTGTATTTGAAATGGTTACTACCACGGATTGAAACAATTCAAGTCTTCAATGACAGCTGTCACCATGTGTCAAAGCGTGGTGTTGGTGAAATACTCTTGGCAATTGTTTTGCAGTACAACTACAAACAAATATGTTGGGTCGCGAAATGACAGCTGTCACTTTGACGTATGTAACAATTGACTAGAATGTGAAAAGAAAATCCGAGATTCATTTAGAAACGAATGAATTGTATAAATTTGCATCAGAAAACAATGTTTAATTAAAAAAATATAATTTATATATAATTATTTTTTTTTGACATTTTTTTTTTAATACGATCCAAGTTTCGAGATGGAAGGCACTAAAAGTTTCATTAAAAATTTACATATTTATCCGGGTCGGCGTTCGGATTGCTCGAATCTACATACATACATACATTTTAAGCACATTGCAGCCGGATCTACACTTAATATTAAATGAGAATGAAGTGTAGCTGCTCTGTTCTCTGCTATCAACCAATTGTTTTAATTCTATTGAAAGTTTTGCTACCGTTACAGAATGGATTCGTTTTAACCTTCTTTGATTAATAACTTAATTCAGAATCAAATAAAAATAACCTAAAATTTTTCGTAAAACGAACTGTCATATTCGTATGTCAAAGGATTTGAAGGCAGAATTTGTCTTTTTTTTTTTTCAAGGAACACTTGAATCTATAGTGAACCTATGTTTATTTTCGTATTTCACTAGAAATTTGATATTCGTGAATTTAGGATTAATTTGCGCCTCCGGCTTAACTCGTCAATCTGTTAGTATTACTAATACCGATTTGTTCCAGGTGAGCATCCAGCTGCGATGCAACACGGCGGTCAGCTGAGATTGGAATATCCTGTAACGGCTTGTCTGCTCAGCGTTCTGCTCGTCCTCCTGGGAATCTAATCCGACGTCCAAGCTGCTGACGCGAAGAGGAAGACACACACACAAACATACACACTGACACACTTATGTACACACCATAGAACACAAACAAACATATTAGTAACCTCTCGCAGCAAAGGGACTCTTATTTACGTGAACTAACAACAACTTGTGAACCTATCTATTTATACATAAATACACACGTTCACGCACATCGTCAGCTCGAGCAAATTTGCAAATCCCGGCAACGATTATTAAATATGTCCTTTAAACATATACATTTACAGGAAATGCAGACAAAGAAGAAAACAAACAAACAAAAAAACTAAACTAAATATATATATAACACATTCGTAGGTGTAAAGAAAGAACCAGACGATTTTTTAAAAAAAATAAACGATAAATTATTTTAAAAGTAAATATCACAAACAAATCCACGAAGTAAATCGTAAAACTCTTTTTAAAAAAATAATCTAAAACTAATTTGTACATATTTCTTAACCGAAACGGTTATTTATTAAATATCACTCGGTTGAACTTTTTTTAATTAATGAAATTCGTATCTCTGATCCATTTTATTAAATTAATCCGAAACGCGCTGGAAATAAATGAAGTTCGAATTGATGAAACAAGAGAAACGTCCGCAAGAATTGTGTTTTGTTTTCATTGAAATCTTTTTAAAAAAAAAAAACCCCAATCAAGTCACGTGTACATACTAGGATATACGAATTTAACGATCGACTTTTCCCTTTTTTGTTGTTGTTGCAAATTTGCGTCGACTTTACACGTTTATTACTTCGACTGACCGACCGCAAAAAATAAATAAATTTGGTGCGACAAACTTCGGATGCGTTCGAATTTTCATTGTCTATATAAAATGTAAGAATGGGCGAATGATTGAGAGACGAAAATGTGAAGTGTAAATGAATAATTCTTAAGATATATATATATGTGAGAAATACATGAAAACTGTTATTGTAAACTAAACATTAAACGAACAAATATATGTAATGAAATGTATGCATAAAACAAAATTAACACAATTGTTTTTATTTTTTTCTTTAAATTGGACGATTCTTCTGATTTTCTTGTGTTTGTTAATATTTCTTCTATCTACAATAAATATTTAAGACGATTTCATCCGTTTTATTTCGCTAATTAAAAATAAAATAATTTTCTAGGTCATCGCTGAAGGTAGGTTGTAATTGTATACAAAAAATCTTATAAAAGTTTTAATGCTTAAGTGTGCATGTATCTAAGATATACAAGAAATAGACGGTGTAATGAATATTTCAAAATTTAATTAGCTTTGAACTGGTTTAGGATCAGGAATTAAGTGGCGAAGGAGGCTATTAGTGAGGAAGATTTTATTACCAACCCTCCGGTGAGTTATTCCCTATGTATCTCTGTCTGTATATAAAATATATGTGCGTGTGAAAGCGGTCCTTAATTAATCAACAGCCAATGATTTAGTCATTAGTGAAGTGAACATGAATTATTCATAAGCTAGATAATAATAATTAAACACAAACTGTTTGGTTAAAATTTTGTGAAAATATTAGCTTTGGAACATAATTAACATCAATTATAAACATATTTAAATAACACTTTTTTGTCTCTCATATTTTGAACATAAACAAAAGAAAAACTTTATAGTTCAAGCCAATTAGTGATGGTGAAATGTACAATAAAATTATCTTTACAATTGACTAATGTTGCAGCAAAGAAAATTGCAATAGATAAACTCTGTGAAAATTTATCAATTTGGAAATGTGAAGTGTGCGTGTGAGCGTAAAGAAGACAGCGAAATTATTTAATTTTCCGTTTGAATCAAGCCACCCGCGCCCCTTAAAAGTTGTTTTATTAAAGGTGGCCAAAGAAAAGGGTGGCCGTGGTTCGGTCATTAAGCTGAATCCGCATCAGCGTTGCCAACCCCCTTGCCTTTTCCCACGACTCCTTCTTAATGGATTTATGCACGGTGTCCCGCATATAAACTCCCTTTATTATTATCATCACCACCACTTCAAGATATCCTCATATCGTCACTACACGTATTCATGAATTATTAGATTTAGTCCTAAACAGAAAACAATTAATATAAACAAAATTGTTAAACAAAATATTTGTTGCTATTAGTAACGCATTCGATAAACAGATGAAACGTTACCTGAGAACGCAAATAAATTCTCAATTAGTCACTTAATATAATTGATGGATGGATGGGATGTTTAATAAAGAGTGAGCCTAATATAAACCATTTGCACAGGCAGGCGCTCCTTTTACACGCTCATTATGCGAGGGGAAAATGTTTTTTTTTTGTCCATTTTTTCTTTCTCTCCACCATCGCGAAGCTTGAGATATTGCACCCTACACTCCCTTCATCATTTCCATTTTTTTTCTTCCCTCTGCTTTTTTTTTTATTATCATCATCTCGCCCACTTTCCTACGTGAATGGAAATCTCGCGACTAAATAAAATTACTCTCCCACTCAGTGTTATTCTTATTATAATTCAGATCGCTCTAATTTATTAAGGTGTAAATTAATTAAGTCTTGGAGCATCAGCATATATTTTACATACATATTAGTTTTTCTTTATAAAGTTTTGACTGTTTGTTCTGTACCTTTACATAGCAGTTTTGCATGCTTTCTTTTACCTATAGAGATAGCGAAACTTGATGGTGCTTTTGGGAAGTAGTTACCAGGGTATAAACAAGTGGATTTAGTGTATTGTGTCTTTTGAACAGGAGCGACCGTAGATCAAAAGAGGTCACACGATTGGGATGATGCCCTTTCTCCTCGCACAGGGTGGAGGAACGAAGGGTGGTTTAGAACCGGTCACCCCTTGGATGTAGGTATTGGCGGAAGTTGACCGATAAGAGAAGACCCGCAGCAATGTTTACGGCCCGATAAACGCGCCCCTGAACCGCCGCTAATATCACAGCATCAAAGGAAATCTCTATTTTCTCCATGGCACTGCTCTTTTTTTATTTTTCACCTCCACCCCTTGCTCCCAACTCTCAACTACATGCATCTCTCTATCTCTTGTTTCCTACAACACACGCGTAACATTATTATTATTATCGCCGCCGCCGCCGATCTAACAATTTTAGCTGCGGAAAAACAATTTCTATCCGCTGCCACCGCCGCCGCCGCAACAAACCAAGTGGCGGCAAATTGAAAATTTAATTGAGTAGCGAGCGCCGCCAACTTTTAATTATGGCAATCAATTTCGACGGCACCTTGAAATTAATCGCACGGAGAGCCGAGGGGTTGCTTTTGCTTTGGATGTTCTTTTTTTGTTTTTTTTTTGGATGTGCCGGGTAAATGCGGCCACCGAACCTACGCGATCGCATTTTCTGCATGCCCTGAATTATTAGCGTAATTGATCGACGTTATTTGTCACCGCGGTTCGTTTCCAAAAACCGATCTTCAAGCATCTAAACCTAAATATTACATCGTTCTACAAAATGAGCTGCAATCAATCTCAGCGAAATTATAAAGATGCATATAGAATTTTTAATTAGTTTAGTAGTTCCAATGCTCAATTTGGTTGCAATTACAAATACATGATCAAGCATTCGCAAAAAGGTGACAGGTGCAAACTTTAGTTCTTAGAGAGGCGCCACTAGTCTTTCTCTGACGCATACGTCATGTTGAAGTTATTAATCTTAATTTTGGTCATATTTGTACATATCTTTTTAAGTATTCTTTAATCAATTCATTCACCACTAAAAAAATAATTCAGATGAATCAAGTTTACTTTATGAATACTGCCTCATATCTTAAGTACGCTTTTTACATAATCCCTCTTTCACCATAAAAGTTGAAAGTATATACAATGAATTTTACACTTCTTCATCCATCAATCTATACAAATTTAGACTTTTCTTGAATAGAATACCATGAAATTTTCATTTTTGCTTTTGACCTTTTTTTTTTCTATAATATATCATTGTCGTCTCTAACACCCTGATCTGGACAAATAAATCACATGAAGTACATACAAAATTATCCGTTCTAAAAAAATCTAAATAAATAACTCTGTGGTTCAGTCAATATGGCAATAATTAAGTTTTAGTTAATGAACTTTGTCGGTAATTAAAAGCAAGCCTAAATATGCAATTAAGGATAATTGATAGGTACGCAATTAAGTGAAGTGTACCATTATTGCGAACGTTTTTTTTTTGGGTGTGCAAGGTGGTAGATCGTCAGGGATGATTGGAATATAAATCGTGGAGCATAAATCAGATTTTAAATTTAGTAGTGTGATGATGTCTACAACAAGTCTGGATGAGTTTGCGCTTGTGGGGGGGTGGAGGGTCGGTTAATAAATTGCCGGGAATTGTGCGTTTTCGTGGTTTTTGAATGAATTATCGGGATGCAGACAGGTGGGTCTGCAAATTCCGCGAATATCTTACGTCAGCATATAATGGGGGGATGTAATTGTCCGATAAGGGCGGCGTTCCAAAGTCTGCGTTGGAATCCTGTGTGCGAAGGAGGCGGTGTATGGATGAGGGTGAAGGGTGGAGGGAGGAGGTGTACGGCGCAAATGGGCCCTCGAGGGAACACCGAGTACGGCATCATCCGTTCGAATTGCATTATACACACAGCTCTGGATGCTAAGTGAAATATGCACGAATCTTTCCACCATCCGCACGTATAATATACACGGACGAACACCGAAAGAAATCTCCAGTGACCATAAATGGACGACGCTCGAGCATTTCGATGCTTTTTTCGCGGAGGAGGAATATCTAATTTCGAAATACCTCTACGTGCGTATCATTCCCGAAAATAATATTTCGACATCTTCAGCAGTGTTCCGCGACATTCAATATTTCGAGTCCGTGAGGTCAAAAAGGAAAGACACTTTAATTTTAATCCAATAGATGAACCGAACGTAAACAAAAATCGGAAAATCTATTGGATCAAAACGAGATCCGTGTGTGCATTTTTCTGTATAAAAACAGGTGCAACCTCGAGAAGGTTAAATGCGAAACGGTCTTGCATCAATTCAGAGGCTGTGTGTTGCGCTTGAATTGATACCTGGTTACCATCTTCATAAGAAGATGATATACCTTGAATTAGCACCTGGACATGCGGCCACGTGGAAATCGCTGCTCTCATTCACAGCAAATGAGAGCAAATAAGATGAATATACCTTTATTTAGCACCTGGACATGCGGCCACGTGGAAGCGCTGCTCTCATTCACAGCAAATGAGAGCAAACGCGTGACCGCACACCCGGGAGGAATCAAAAAGAAAATAGGGAAATTTAGGATAGAAGGAAATGCTATGATCTAGGTACCTGAAAGGGAACGTAACGATTAGTGACATGACATACAATAAAATTAAATCAATCCTGAAACAGAAGAACACAAAGACATGACACACACC